AAAAAGTTGTCTCTATTCATCTGGACGTAGCGTTTTCAGTGGGAGAAACATTTCCTCACTCGTTCCAAGTGACTTGTGCTGTCTCAACTGACTGTAAACCTTTTAAAAAGCACATTTGCATAATGACTGAAACTAGCAATGGGCTGTGAGGCCAGTGTTAGTCAGTGGCCTGTATTTCCAGATGCAATATTTGCATAGAGATGGTGATTTTACATCCAAGGCTCTGTTATCTTTCAGAAAACACATAATCAGATGCAATACTTTTATAACACTGAACATATTATATCTGAAGAATAGCCAGTGTTCGTTCATGCTAGAACACTGATGAAATTTTAGACTGTCAGTTCTCTTAAATCTGCCTAAAAAACACAGCAATTACAATTTTATTTAATCCGACTTGCTCAACTGGACATGATGATGACACTGAAAACCAACAGCCCATTTGCACATTAGTGTCAACCAATCTTCCCCAGCTTGTCTGGCACTATGAGCTATTTTGGGTTTGTCATATCATCATGTGCAAATGAGTATTCATCTACAGAACTTAACTGTCACAGGACACACTTGGAAGTACTAGGGCCAAGCTAAGACCAAGTGGATCTTTGGATGACTAAAAGCTTGGAGTAAAGACCTAACAAGAGATGATGACAGAGAGAAAAGGACAGATGCAGTTTAACACACACACACACACACACACACACACCCCCAATTGGGATGATAGTGAAACAGACAAGAGAAGCCTGCCATAATGTGGAGTAAAGGGCTACAGGACATACAGGGTATGCTGAAGCCAACAAAATCTGGCTATCCAGTGACCATATCACTGCTTTTTACTCCAGAATGAATGGGACAACTATGGAAGCACAGCATCCACCAAGCAATGACTTCACTACTGTTGTTTCTTAGAGGATTTCCCATAACACAAGCATACATGCTGTCCTACATGGTTCACAATGGGTACATGTATGTAGCCGGAGAACTGCCTAAAATAAAAAGCATGTTGGCAGTAATACAATGTACAGTACCTATGCACGCTTTTAAACATGCCACAGTAGTTAAGTGTCAGTGATCTTACAAAAAAA